AACCATCTCAACCACAACCACAAACATCTCAGCCACAACCACAACCATCTCAGCCACAGCCACAGCCACAGCCACAACCATCTCAGCCACAGCCACAACCATCTCAACCGTCTCAGTCGTCTCAGCCATTTGAGACTTCCATGCCATCTTTTGAAGATTTTATTCAGTGCTCTGGCCCTCAAACCTTCACTCAACAAAACAGGGAATATGGTGGTGATTGGTGATTTCATGGTGTGTTATTTGATGTGATGATGGTTAGACTTTGTGTTTGTGATGATGACAGTTATGCTTTGTGTTTGTGGATATTGAAGTATAATTTATGGTGATGACCCTATTGCTTTGAATGCTATTGACATTATTTGTGGCTATTGATAGTAATGTTTTCAATGATAGTTTTTTTTTGCTATTTGTGGCTATTGATTGTAGTGATAACAGTGTTTTGAATGTTACATTGTGGGAGATAGATGTGGTGAGAGTGGAGTTGCTGGAATATTGAATTACTGCATTTCATTGATGATAATAAAGGCATACATTGTCCAAATGATTACATTAATTATCATCTAAAATTACTTGAGAACAATAACAGCGAAAAGGATTACAATAACCAAAAAAAACAATCCATTGCTAAATTTTTTCTCAATTTTCTCCATCTTTGACTGCACCTCCTTCAGCATTATTGCGACCTCTACATTTTCATTTGTTAGCTTTGCTCCGGTTGACTGTACTTCATCATCATCGTCTTCATAACAAACTTCATCTTCATGGATTTCATTTGACTTCACCCAATTCACTGAGACAGGTTTAAGCCAAGCAAAGAAACGACATTTGTTGTACGGGCAATTGCAAAATAGTTTGCCAACAGTTTCTTTTGTAGGACCAACGACCCGAATGCGAGCAAATGTGTTGCAACCACACTTAGGGTGCTTATACCTTAGATACAAACTCTCATTCTTTGACATCTTTGATTTTTGGGAAGTAGACATATTCAACCTGCCAAAAAAA